GGGGGGGGGGGGGGGGGGGGGGGGGGGGGGGGGGGGGGGGGGGGGGGGCGCGCTACATGTGTGCACGCTCTAGAGAGCCGGCCTCCGTGGTCGGCGATTGTCGCTCCACGGACGGGATCCGGAAAGAGCATTCATTGCACGCAGCACGAAATTTTCTCTACTAATATGCGTATGTCCAACCTCCATGGTTGCCCCTTGTGAGTTCGTTTGTTCATGTCTACCATGGGCGTGTCTTGTGCCGGTTGTCGTTGTTTACCAGCGCACAGAGACCAACGCCCGCGGTTGGTACGACGACGAGTTAACGAAGCAGACCAGAGACTGGAAAGAAGGGTTCGATGTCGGACATGTCCCCGAGCCAGACAAACCGCCAGAGCACCCGTCGAACGTCGTGGCCGAGGGGTATAACCAGTGGCCGGGTGAGAGCGTGCCGTCGTTCAAGGTGCGCGAGCATCGTCGTAGCTTGGCGGCTCTGCCACCCGCCGCTGTTTCGAATAAGGTTGTGTTGTTGCTTGCGTGTGCGCATATCCCGTGGGAAAGGTAAGTTATATTTGTGCTGTCGAAGGGATACTGCTGTGTGCGAGCATTCCAAGCAGTGGTAAGCCTGCTCGACGATCGCTGAGAACCTAAAAGGAGAATGCGTTTGAGTCCCTGCCGCTGTCTATATTATCACCCCGGAAATTTACCGCCCAACTTTAGACGACGCCTCGCCCTCAACATGCTGTTGCGGCTTCCGCATGCACAGGAGACCATCGACGAGTTCTACTCAAGCGCCGCGCTAGTCGCTCAGCGCCTGCTCGAAGGCATAGCGTCGCACCTCGGCCTCCCCCGGGCACACTTCGCGCCCTCTTTTGAGCCGCACACGTCCTACCTGCGGCTGAACTACTACCCCCAATGCCCGGAGCCTTCGACCCTCTCCGTCAACCGGCACACCGACGCGGGCGCCCTGACGGTGTTGCTGCAGGAGAACGGCACAACCGCGCTGCAGGTGTCGAACGTCGCTGTCGCTGTACAGACAGCGTCAGGAAGCAGGGGGGGTTTTGTTGAGGCTGCTACTTCCGAGCGTTGTTGCTATTTTAGAACACCACCCGCCCAGCCTATGCCAGCACCGCGAAACGAAACACTGGTATTTCATTGTTCGAGCCTGTGACCCCAACCTTACGATGGGGGCCCGCTTGCCTGCCTTCACGGTGTCGTTGGTGCTGAACACCCAGGTGAACCATCAAGGCACGGAACGATGGGTTTCCATCCCTCCGGTGGACGGCGCGATGACCATCAACGTGGGGGACATGTGAGGAGGCCGATTTGGGTTGTTAGGGGGGTGGTCGCAGTATCTGCCATCGCTGTAGCCGGGGAGCAAATGTCCTCTTGTCCCTTCCTCGCGCCGTGCCTATGGATACAATGCAGTCTGACAGCGCCTGTGCGTCAGATCCATTTCTGTGCTTTCCACCGCACGCTCGCGTCAATGACGGTCTTGTAAGTGTATGCTCTCCTTGGTGCAAGGGGTAGAAATCGATTGCCTGCAGTGCGGATTGAAGCCAAGTTGATCTGGTGCGGTCTGTCCGAGCGCCGTGTCCTACCCGAGAGAGTGCAAACACGCGTTCACGTCCCTCGGAACGGTGGCAGAGAAGAGTCAGAACGGTTCTCAAAGGAAACTTTTTTGCACCCCGCCCGTGGTCTCTCCGCCTTTCGTTGCTCTCGTTGTCGATGATCGGCTATACACTTTCCGTCCACGGGGAGTCAGGCTTCAGGTGTGGACGAATGACCTTTTCGTCGCACCAGAGCATCGGGTGCTCAGCCAGAAGGACCGCGACCGGTTCTCGGCACCGTTCTTTTACAACCCGGCGTGAGTGGCTCCACCTTCCCCGTGATCTTCGCTTGTTGGTGGCACTTCCGTGTTGGGTCAAATGCTGACAGCGTGTGATTTGGCGACTGTGTAATTACTCGTATCGCTCCCTCTTTTTATCGACCTACCATAGCATGTTTCCCGGCCGGGAAGTCGTAGTGAAGGTCCCACTTCTTTGTTGACGTACCCTGTGTTCACACCCGCCCGCCCTCCCACTCTTAGGTATCACGCCGACATCGCCCCGTTGCCGATAGAAGGAGAACGGAAGGCCGATGACCAAGCGACGGCGGCGGGCGGCCTGGCGGGGCAGGGGAAGGGGCGCTACCGGCCCGTCAACTGGGGCGAATTCCGGCTGCGGCGATTCGCGGGAGACTACGCCAACCAGGGCGAGGAGGTCCAGATTTCCCACTACCGGCTCGACGCGTAGCAGTGGCATCTATTGACGCCGGAATCAAACCACGAGAATCCCCAGCGCGGATTACTTGTCTAGTCTAAATCTGATGCTTTTATTTCGGCTTCTATTTGCCCGCCTGTGAGGCGGGGACTACAGGTCGGTGATCTGTGTATGAATTGGCGCCGTGTCTACCCATGTGCATTGGATCTTTGTGTGTGCGTAGTAGGTCGTTGCTTGCTTTTTTTGTGGACCCTGCTATCAGTACTGTAGGTAGGTAATAGGTGCCTCAAAGATCAAAGACCACCGTGGTTTGCTTCTGAGGGCAGGTGCTTGCTTTCGCCCAACGGCGTTTGGCACCGTTCTGGTCGTGTGTTGACTCTTTGACAACTTCGTATGCGATCAACGTGTAGGTAGTCGCTGCTGCACCCACGCGTTGTATATTATCAAGCAGGAGAAAAGCTGTAGCGTGGTGAGATCTGCCGCCTCTCCGCCCTGAGAAAAAGCAGGCGAGAGCGCAGCCTAACTTATACATTCTGAATCTGAGCTCGATGTATCTGTGTGTCTAAAACGAGTTCGGGAATAGTTTCGTGGCGATGTGAGAGTCGAACGAGCAGAGGTGGTTCACTTTATGTGAGGTCTTCTGAGGTCTGCAATTGATTGTGCTGTGTGGGGGGCAAACAACCAAGCCTGCTCCGTTTGATCAGGCAAGATACTCCCTTTTGACGCTCCCTGCATGATGTGATCGCAATAATTCACTAAGCCACCAACCAATGGGGCGGGAAGGGGGCAGGAGACGGACGAGACGGCGAGGGAAGAAAGCAAACGAGAAGAGACGGATCGAGTGGCGCGATACGTGCCGGATTGAATTTCTTTTAGCCAATTCCCCCCCCGCCAACGCTGCACCATTTCACCAACCCCCCACTATTGATGACGTACCATTACAATGTATCGCTGGTTGGTGGCCATGTTTGCGTGTTTGCTTGTCTGTAGTGGTCTCTCCACCGTGTGCCTTTTTCTGTCTCTTATTTCTTGTTATTTTCGGCCTGGTGGTCCCTTTTTGTCCTCGCTCTTATTATTTTTTCTCTCTCTCGCTTCCTTTTATTTTCGTCTCTTTTTCTCTTGTTCTCGTTTTCTCTCTTTTTCTGTGCCAGATGGCCTTGTTTCTGTCTGCGTTGTGAAGTACCAAGATTGAACCAAGGGGGTGTACCTCATTATCTCCGGCCCGTGATGGTGACCCCTAGTCTCCTCGCATAGCGCGCAGAGGGAGTGGAGGACTCCAGAATATCTGTCGTTGATTTCTATCGACTTTGCGGACCCCTCGGGGCCATTTTATTTGAATGTACCTTTTTAGGGTAAGTTAGCCTGCGACCACGGGAATCGACCGCGTCNTTTTATTTTATTTGTTTCTGATTATATTTTGTTTTCTTGTATTTTATCGCTCTGCTGACCCTTGGGGTCCATTTTATTTTGGTATACCTTTTCTAGGTACGTTAGCCTGTGACCACGGAAATTGGCCGAGTCAAGTGATGGATTAGTACGGAGAGATTGAGACAGAAGGAGGTACTGGATAGAGAGATCGGAACGGTTTTTAATGTGAAGACAACAACAACAACAACAACAACTAAAGCACATTTTTCTCCCTTCTTCCCCTCGCTCCTCGACAAGCTTTTGCTTAGACATGGGTTGTAGTGAAGGGGGGGGTCTTTCTGGCGAGCAGGGCTAGACTCACCCTCAAGGGATGACCGAAACCTTCTTGCTGCTGCGCATATCCGCCGCGAGGCATGCGCGTGGTGGTGTAGTTGGGTCGGCACTGATGGGGTCAGGCGAAAAAATGTAGATG